TTATCACATTTTACTCAATGTGTTTCTTATCCTTAAACTTACTTAAAGTCAACCAAGTTAGAGCAATAAAATGGGGACCCCATTAAATGTCTCGTAGATTGCCTAAGTAGAAGATTGATATTATTCCGTCTTTATTTTTCGCTGAGATTTGCATAACAAAGCACATTTCGGGGATCATCCCGTGGAGGTCCGGGATCTCCATCATGGTCGCCACCCAGGCTTATTTATGCACGCATGCCGGCGTTAAATTGGATAATGGAAATTGGATTCGGGCCGAGGTTTTCTGGCCTCGCCCTGGGCCTAGGGTTTTCCAACTGAAACTTTCTGCGGCCAAGTCGATGGCACTTGACTTGATTACGGCGCTGGCAAGGGCAAGGCCGTCGTCAGGCGATGGCGACACGTGTGCACGTGGAGCCACCTGTTGAGGTGGGGGGCGGTGATAAAACAAGGGGAGATATTGGGGGGTCACAGGGTCGGGCCATCTGCTGCTCGCTAACATCGCCTTATTAATATTAATGAGCATATGGTTTGGTGCCGAACCCACAAAACAAATCTCTCGGCCTGGCACCCAGCACCCGGACACCAGACCCTCATCGATGCCTGCCAGCGTCATTTACGATGTGCGAAAATAAATATTTAATTATTTATAAATCATGACCTGGCCAAACGACAATGACGTTGGAGGATCTAGTAGCCGGTGGGAGTTGGGGGAGTCCTGAACTTCAGATCCCAGAATCCAGGTGAGAACGTGAGCGCCTCGACGCCGCACGGATGAGCTCATACGGACATTTTAGCCGGAATCAAGTGGAAAACTTAGGGTCGGAGGGCAAATACATAAATTATGGCAACATATTTCGCCAGGCGTCAGCCAGGTGCGAATCTTTTTCTGTGTGAGTTAGGGACTAGGAACCATAAAGCCACCATGTGTGTGTTTGTGTGGGATGAAAATGTGGCAGAAAGTTATGCCAACTTGCAAAGTTTTATTTGTAACTCTGCCTTAAAGAAACTTTTAATCAGTAAATATTTTAGGTTAATAGAACAATATTTTTTGAGGCTCAGGGTATGCTGTAAAATATACAAGCTTAATTAGGGAAGAACATGATTTTCTTAATTAAAGGATAGAAACCTAATTAGATTTGTTTGAAAGATGTAACGTACTTAATTGTATTTAGAAGTAAACAGGAAGAATGACTCATCACTAATTTAAGTATGGAGTGAATATAATGGTTAACAAATAAATAAGCTAAGTTTTATAATGTCAATGACAATAAGATAATTAATTGGATAGTTAATACATAGATAGCACAGCTGATCATTATCACTATCACTATCACCATCGATGTGAACACTAGGTACCCCTAGGATAGACTGAGGCCAGCGGGCCGACCGTGCCTCTATTTATAGTCGGCGAGTGAAGAGAGCAGAGAAAGTGAGAGCGAGAGAGAGAAAGGTGCCTCTTGAGGTGCACAGACAGAGATAGACACACCGTGAGTAAGAAAGAGAGTGGGAGAGTGGGAGTTTTGCCATTTCCTCTGCACTTCGCGATTGATCCAATGGCAGCTATATGATATAGTCATTCGATACGGAGCGTTGCGCTTCCTTAAAATTTCAGTATAAAGTATAAGGATGCGTATAAAAATATACTCCCATATGAATTGTTATTTATACTATCTAAAATATTGACTTTCAATCTAGCTCATTAATTAAAAATCAGCAATTAAATAATAACAAATAGCCCCCCCTCTGTGCATCCTGCACATGAAATAATTTCAAAATTAATTTCGCTTCTCGATTGGATGCTGAGCCACTTAATCACATTCACCCGGGGAAATTCAATCCAAATAGATAGGAGAGCTTACCAAACAAATTAGTCAGGCAATCGGCCCAATTCACCACCCCCATTGGAAAGTGGAAATATGATTTGAAAGCACCCAAATCCACCATCGGGAATGATGAATGATTGGGAGAAAATGCTAGCTATTTTTGTGCATTTACCAATTAAATTGGTTGACATAAGCCGATTTGGCGTTTATTTCGGTTCAAGTGTTGCACAACAGTTCGAATGTATGTAATTTTTAATTAAGCAAATGGCTTCCAAAGTGGAAAATCGACAGGTCATGTGTGTGTGTTTGTTTGGTTTTTCCCTGGCTAAAAGTCAGGGAATTAGGTGATGCTGCTGTTTGGAAAAACAAATCAACCGAGTAAAAGTTGAAAAGCCCGAGTACCAAGTGAAACTTAGCCTTGCTCTTCACAACACAGAAGTGTAAAATTTATGCCAAAGAGAACGACAAGGATGGGAACAAAAGGGAAAGAGAGATGGGTATAGGGGCAGCGATAGGGAGGGGAAACTCTATGCATGACAATGACTTGGCCAATGAGTGAGAAAGATAACAGGTAAAAGTTTACTCGCCTTGGTGCTCAGGTGGAACAAAGGCGCTGAAAACAAAAGATATTTTTCACGCGAAAAAAGAAAATTCCATTAAATTTCGTTAGGTTCTTCAATTCAGTTTTCGTTGAGTCTAACAAAGTTTCGCTAAGCAGCATCAAATTTGAATAAAAATGAAAATTGACTGGAGCCAGAGCCATAAAATTTCACCTTAGTTTAACTTTTAAAGGTTAAGCATTTGACTTTAGATAAGCATTTAAAGATTGAGCTATTAAATGATTTCAATTTAAGGAGCATTTGCTACTAGGTTGACCAGAATCCCCTTTGCCATAACCAATATTCCTGGCTGAACTCCTCACCCAAAAGTACAAAGGACGAAACACGAAACTTGCGATATTGTCTCATTAAGACCCACACAGGTCTGCCAATTATAGTTTCATCAGTCACTTGGTCATAACACTAGCTTCTACTGGTCAAAACCCACTCCCACCACTACGATGGCGTAGCCGAAAACACATATCTTCTGCTCCACTGGCCAGATCAATCGGTAGTCAAGCGTTTTATGGCCTTTGTGTGGAGAGCGGAATTGGGTGGACTTTTGCTCTGGGGCTGGGTTGATGGGTGGTGGTGGTGGTGTGGTGGTGCTACCATCGTCAATGGCAACATGTTTAGCAATTGATTGCCATTCTTGTTTGTACCATCTGACGAGGAGGAGGCAACAGGACACAGACAGGTAACAGAGCCTTGCTTTCTCCCCTTGAACAGGTGTAATTATCGAAGTATCTGTCTGGCTAATCAAGGTGTAAGGGGAACAAGGAGGTTTACAGAGAAAAATTGTATATTAGTCAAGTCCCTTAAAACTAAATCTTCATAGCAAAAAAATCCATTGAATAAAATGTAGTTAATTGATTAAGTATAATAGTAATACTCTCTTTGGACACTCTTTATCTTAATTAATGCCTTTCTGATAATTCCTAAAAATGAAATATTAAATGTTATTTCCTTTCAAGAATAAACTCATATTCATCTCTGCTATTCTCTCAGTGTGGTAATTATGATGTGGCTACCATCAAAGCAGCTGCATTCAATCTAATTGGGAGGCTTTTGGGCAGAAACGGCACAGCGGGTTAAAGGCTAACCCGATCGTGTCGCAAAGTCATTAGGCCCAGCTGCTGTTGACCCAGTTAATGCCGATGGAACAGCAGTTCTCATAAATTTCGCGGCAATTCACGCAGTTTATCTAACTAGGATTACGCCAATTAATTAATCAGGGAAATTCTATCTGTCTTGGCTGGGGATAGAGGAGGTTCTGCCTCCCCTGAGGCTATTTCCTTTCAGTCGTCGGCCTTGGCTTGTTGTCGGGTTTTTCGGCCAACAAACGAAAAACTTTGGCTTCGTCTCTTATTGGCCTGTTTGCAATTGTCTGGAAAAGTTTCCGCCTGGCTACTGACCGAGAAGTTTGTGTGGCCTTCATCGGGTACTCCTAGAACGAGTAAATATATATATGTATGTTTTGTGGCCTGGCCTCAAAGTTTTCCTGTTCACCGCCATATGGGGTCGAGGTTTTCTCCTTCCATTCAAATGCCAAGGGGATCTTAAGGAACCTCAAAACAAATTGCTTATTAATTATGAGTCAAAGTTGGAAAAGGGAAAGTGTAGCTAATAGAAAATGTATCTGAACTGTGTTTAGACCAAGACCCATTAGAAAAGGTCAAGTTTAATTGAAACAATGTTTAGGCGTAAGAAGGTTGTAAGGTTTCTATAAATGTATAAATTATGTGTTGTGTTATTATTTAAATATCACAATTGGGATCCATTTTATAAGGTTAAAAGATTAGTTCTTATACAAATTACTCTATGGAGTACGTATCTTTAAAACAAATAATGTATTTTATTTTATAGAGATTTACCAATTGTTTAGCTTCATCTGCAGGTTGACTCATTTCAAATTCTATTTAATTATATTTCTGGTTCTGGCACCAAATAATAAATTGAGTTTATATGAATTACGCTCGTCTCCTTTTGGGCTCACGTTATGTGAAAGTTAATTGCTTGTAGTTGCTGTCATGTTTTCCGTTTTTTTCCCCCTCTTGTTGTTTCCCTTCGACTTTTCCTTTATTCCTGTCCCTCCTTCGCTTTTCATTTTTCACTCGCCAGATGGAGAATAATTTTTTTTCTCGCACGCCGGGAAATGGCCAGGAGGTGGAGCAAGGAGAAGTTAGGCAAACAAGCAAACGAGCAGAATTTCATATAGTTGATTGCATTGTCTGAAGGAAGATGTTCTCACACGCCGGCAATGGCAGTGGCAGTGGCAGTGTGGAAATGGGGAAATAGTGGCTCGAAATGCTGATAGCATGCGCTCAATATTGTCAGTAAATAATACGCGCTTGTTAGTGCTTTCGCTAAGGATGGACCAGAGTTTACACAGAGGGAAAATAGGAATTATAACTAGATATAGAAGAGGTATCAACATCCTTTTAAAATACACCATTCCCCTTTGAACATGAGTTATACTCCCATTATTTATCCCGTTCACCTTGTCAGCTAATTAAGCTGACGCTAAAATCCTTTCGCGGTATCTAATCAATCTCACATTTCATTTGGTCTTTTCCAGAAACCACTGTATCGCACCACAGCATGTGACATTAGAGGCCATAGAATATGGAAAGCATATCAAAATATTTGCCATTTAGCTGGTTGAGGCGTCATCAAACAGAGAGAAATTAGCAGGCGACAGTTGACCAGTTGCAGTGACCCAGCGACCCAGGATGCGGCATCGGGGGGCCGACATGAAAGGACATTCGAGGCCAGCTGCTGACCATAGCAGCAGCAGCGGCAGGAGCAGGAGCAGAAGCATCGGGATCGCGACCAACGGCAATGTCCTCTCTGGCATTCTGTTATTTGTGCTGACAGCGCTGACACTAACGAGCTTAATAACGCCCACAGAGCAGCTGACAGTGGCGCCAAATGGAACCACTCTGGGGCTGGAACAGGAGCAGGAGCAGGAGTCCCTGGATATGGCTGTGGACTTGTACAAAACCATAAACGGCAATCTGTCGGGCCAGAATGGAACAATAGGGCCGCCGGCAACGCGTCTGCACCTGAACCACAAGCTGCGACCGCCGCCGGACAATGGCAGCCAGTATCCCGACTATGATGACGATGTGGGTCCGGATTGCTCGTACAGCTACAACTTCATCCTGAAGCTCATTACGATGATCCTGTATGCCTTGGTCTGCATTATTGGATTATTTGGAAACACTCTGGTGATCTATGTGGTGCTGCGTTTCTCTAAAATGCAAACGGTGACGAATATTTACATCCTGAATCTGGCCATTGCGGATGAGTGCTTCCTGATTGGGATACCCTTTCTGCTGTACACCATGCAGGTGGGCAATTGGTCCTTTGGCAATTACATGTGCAAAGCATATATGGTGAGCACTTCGATTACGTCCTTCACCTCATCGATCTTTCTGCTGATCATGTCAGCGGATCGGTATATAGCCGTGTGTCATCCTATATCCTCACCACGTTACCGCACACCGTTTGTATCCAAACTGGTGTCGGCCTTCGCCTGGATGACTTCGGTGCTGCTGATGCTGCCGGTTATCCTGTTTGCCAGCACAGTGGAGTCACGGAATGGGAATGTATCCTGCAACATCGAGTGGCCCGATACCCAGAACTCGCACACAGACTCCACCTTCATCCTGTACTCCCTGGTTCTGGGCTTTGCCACCCCACTGACCTTCATTCTGGTATTCTACTGCCTGGTTATCCGCAAACTCCACACCGTGGGACCCAAGCACAAGAGCAAGGAGAAGAAGAGGTCACACAGAAAGGTGACCAAGCTGGTGCTCACCGTCATCACGGTTTATATCATGTGTTGGTTGCCCCACTGGATCTCCCAGGTGGCCTTGATTAGTTCGGCGCCGCAAAGGTGTGCCTCCCGACTGGAGCTGGCCGTATTCCTGGCCTGCGGTTGTCTCAGCTACTCCAATTCGGCCATGAATCCCATTCTCTACGCCTTCCTCAGTGACAATTTCAAGAAGAGCTTCATGAAGGCCTGCACCTGCGCTGCCCGCAAGGATGTCAATGCCCAACTCCAGCTGGAGAATAGTTTCTTCCCCAAGTTCGGCAAGGGTCGTCAGTCGGAGCGGCTTATTGGTAACAAGGGTAACGCCCAGCGAGGATCTCTGGCCAAGAAGAAAGCTCTGGTGGCGTCGAGAAATAATAATGCTCCAATGGCCACCGCCACCACAACGACGACCACCACGACGACGGGTACGGATGCCGTCACCTGTGTCCAGCCGGCGGTTCATCAGGTTCCCGCCGAGATCCAACCCGTAGCAGCCACCTTACTGGTGGTCAATGCGGAAACCAACTCCTGTAAGCCGCCGGTATTGCACACGGACTTATAAGAGCGGGCTCCCTCGATGCCCCTGGAGACGGTGGTGTTCATAGCACGGAGGTGAGTGCAGGCCGATCTGGAGCCGGAGCTGGAACTGGAGCTGGACACGGTCCTGGATCGACGGCTGCTCCACAGGCAGTCGGAGTGCCTGCTGTAGGTTAAGTCTTCTCCAGTGGATAATGATATTTTCTATATATTAATTAGTCAGAGCAATGCGTAAACGGGGAATAGTAATAGGTTTTGTACCATAGGGAATCTCAGTTTCAGAAATAATAATATATATCCTTTAACTTTTTTGAGGATATAAATAAAAGGCAAATTAAGAAAGGGTAAAAGCAAACCTTAAATGAAAATAAAATAAATAATGTCTAGTTTAGAAATGACTACGATTTTCTATACTAAGGAATAAACAAGAATTTTTAAATAATTAATTCTTACAAACCTTATTAGAATTGTTGTTTTAATATTATAGACTATATTTATTTGATAATAATAAAGATTTAGAAATCTTAAAATGTGGTACAGATGTATAGATTTACGTTGAATTGTTATGTTCAATTTTAATTTAATTACCAAGTATTAAGTTCAATCCGTAACCTTGTTTAAAAACTATTTTAATTGGCCTGAATTACAGTAATAAACATTGATCTAAATCACTCTTGAATTAAATATAAAAACGAAATACATATAAAAGGAAAGAAAAACTAATTAAAAATAAAAAACTCTCTCCGTTTTCGCATTGGCTTGCTAATCGGTTAAGTGTTTGATTAAGTTTTTTCGTGTAATTAAGTGTGGATGATTTTATTGTCGTTTTCCAATTTACATACTCCGCTAGTATAAGCTTGTGAAATCTTTTAAAGTTGCTAAAAGTTAGTATAAGTCGGTGTGGCTGGTTGTGGAGCACTTGGAAATTGGAAAATGTTGGGCGGGGCGTTAGTTTAGCTACTAAAGTAAGCCAAAGATTTAATCTTAGAGTTCGAAGAGAGACTTTTGAACAGTGGCAAATAGAATATCATTTGATAAAAGTCTTCTTAAATAGTCAACATAACTAAATCCCTAAAAAAAACCGCAGAAATAATTCCAGAAATGCAAATAATTCCATGGGAAATAAAACGAACAAAGTATTCAAACAAAAAAAGAACTCTACAAATCGAATTAAATTGCAATGTGATTGTAAAAATAAAATGTAATGGAAAATAGGTAAACCAAAACAAAAAGTGGACAATTTGCATAACAATTCATAACAATAATCTCAAAATGAAGCTTAATTAACCGTGTATATTTGAATTTACATTGAGCTAAAAGTTTTTTTTTTGAGCATCTGCGGGCATTAACTCAATTGTGCGTTCAATTGGACCATAATCGAATTCAATAAATGCTAATAAAGTAATAAAAATTCACTTAAATTGTTGTCATAAATATTAAATAGTATCGAAAGGTTAAGCAGCCGCCGGCAAAACAAATATACAATTATCATAGACTCCTGTCCGTTCCTCCATTGTTTGAATAACCCGAAATAGTTGAACAATAAAACCCTTTGAATAAACTCTGAACAAACTAATGCCAGAATTTATCATTGACTTGGCTACTGTAAACAAGAGCCAAGAATTATCTTTGGCAAATTTTGGGAAATCAAGCGCATGTATTTGTACTTTTGAAAGTAAAACCTAGGCTAATCCAGTACTTAAAATAAACTATTCAAAATGTGTACTTTATAATTGTCCAAGAAATACAGGAAAAATGTAAGAAAAACCCATACGGTTATGTGTAACACTTTTCAATTTTAAGTGTAACTTGATTGGAAGCAAGAAATGCTTGCTGGAAAAATAAATGTAAGTGGAATTTAAGTGCTTAAAAATGGATACGGAAATAAACATTATTTTAAATGAATTCAAACAACTCAAAAGCATTTTTTGACATGTTGAAACAGGGATAAAAAATGATTGTTTGTTTATTTCCATAAGAAATGTTTTTATTTATCTTGATTTCATCTTTTTTTACCAACCCTCTTCTCCCCTTGCTTGGTCGTGCATGAAAGATACAAATACATAAAAATTTCACTTTGATATTGAGACAAACAACAGGAAAATTGTCAACATGAAAACAAAAAGAATTTTCATGCTTCGTCTAATATGCGACCATTTTTGACCATTTCACAACAACATCCTTAGACAGGATGCAAAAGCAATATAAAACAAATGTCCACGAACACGAAAGACTCGTGTTGGCCACTGGGAAAATGATAAAGGAAAATGCAATGAAAACTGAAGAAGAAAATGAAACAAAATGAAATGAAAAGAAAATTAAGGAAGCAACATAAAATCTTTAACTGACAAGCAAGGAAATTGCAGTGACACAAAGAGTCTTAAGAGGAAAGTGAGGAAAACTAATTAAGGGGCACTGACCCTGAAGACAGATTGAAAGATATGTTTTAGTTTATTTTTATAAATTAAATACTATATTTTCATTTTCATTCACATATATCTTTTCCCTTCTTTCTTTTCCAGTGCATCAAGTTTTCCCATCATTTTTCTAGTCAATCTCGATTTTAGTTGCACTTGGAGAAGGTCGTGTGGCATATTGATTGCATCCGAACTTCATTAGCAGGCAGACCAGGATCAAGGATCCGCCAAGCAGAGCTGCATGCTGATGCACACGGCCATATGCCAGGGAACCTGCAGGGTTTTTAATGCAGGGCAATGGATACTAACCCCCTAACCCCTGAGGGGACACACACGTCCCCCATATCTCGCAGCCATCAAGTTGAAGTTTAAGGTCAGGGCAGAGCTGGAAAAAGCACTTATCCATCCAAAGATGGGAGGCAGACAGACACCTTATTTGCCATATTGATGGTGGAAACTCGTCTGTCCGTTGAATTATGAAAATAGCTTCGCTCTCTGTGCACTTTCAAAGTCAAAGGTGGATATAATATATAGACGAAAGCAGACTTCAAAGCATCGACTAGTAAATCGTGCACATTCTGACCTAATTTATTCCTACTGGCCGCTGGCTATATACGAAATCAAATTAATGCTTCACACTTCATAAATCGGATACTGAAAATGAACAGATAAAAAGGCGCCCAGCTGCGTTAGATGTGAATTTCATTCGAAACTAAAAATACAGTCGAGTCGCTTTATAAATACATTAGCACCTCAATCAGTCCGATAATGACGTTGGCCAAACAAACACCCAACTTGGCATACAAAACCAAATGGAATGCGTTTTGTTATAAGGAGAACAGGTGGATTGTGCCAGACGGAGGAAAATATTATAACTAAACGGCAAATAAAATAAACATGAAAGTGCAAATTAAATGGAAGATCAAATGCACACTTTGTTGCTTGGAAACAATTAGGAACAAATTTAAATACTTTAAATAACTACAACTAAGTTAACCATATGGTAAGCTAGTTATCCTTACACACTTAAAGTAAGTGAGCAATAATATCGTTAGGAGCCCCTTAAGAAGCGGTTGAACAACTTCTCGCAATCCATAATTTCCCCACTGACACTTGCAGCTTTTGTGGCGGTTTGTGGAAACCCTTTTTCTTCCAAGGAAATTGCGCAAATTTTGCCACCAAATTGAAAAGTTCTTGAGCGTTCTTAACCACTTCTCCCCCACCGACTGCCGCTGACGCTCCATTTGGTTTCTCTCTCTCTTTAGTTTCTGGTTTATGTTTTATGATTTTCCCTTTTGTTGCCTGCCTTGATGATTGCCACGATTCCGATACTTGGCTGGGCAAATTGAAAACTTTTCCGCAATTTTTGTTTTGCGGCCACTCGAGCGTTTGGCATTTTCGCATACTAAAACTATTTCCATGGAACCACCCCACCTCCATGGCATTTGCAAATTGCCGAAAAGTCCAAAGTCGTTGAGTTGGACCGTAAATTTTGCGAGGAGTTGATTCTTTAGTTATTTTATATAGTAATTGGGGCTCGAAATGCACTTTTCTTTCTTTCCAAATCCTTGGCTTCGATTTAGGGCCAAAACGTGGAAACTTTCAGTGACGCTGAAACAAATTTGATAAGGCTTTTGTATGAGAGAAAAATGCTACGACATCGCCAAGGAGATGAAGGACGGCCACCGAATGATTGATGATTTAGTCAGCTTCCAAAAAACAGTATTAACAGCGAAGGATAAAAAATGGGATAAATAAAATGGGGAAATACCAAGACCCTACTCAGATGCTCTTTTTATACCCTTGCAGGGTATTTTAATTTCAGTCAAAAGAATAAAACTAAGTGAAGGAATCATTTCCGACCCTATAAATTATATATATTCTTGATCAGCATCAACACCCGAATCGAACTAGATATGTTTGGTTTAAATTTATTTTTTAAAAATTTTGAAAATTTTATTATGTGTTAAAATTTTGCAAATTTTGAAAAAATATTTAAAAATTTTTACATTTTAATTGGGTATGCAGATTTATTAACCGAATGAAATTTAACATAGGAAAGCTTTCCAAATAAAAATAAATGAATTTTTCACTTAGTTATTACTTTTTAAACTTTGATAAATCATAAAAAATATCGATTCAAAAAATGTGAATATTTTAAACTTATTTAAGATCGATTTTCGAAGCTTATTTGCTTTCTTGTTTTCATTTATATTTATATATTGATTTGAAATCAAATGCAGGCTCTTTTAAAGTAAATAATAAATTCTGTACTATTTAAAATAATATTTTAATAAGAAAATTCAAAATTATAAACAAAAATATAAGATTTAAATAAGCTTTCATTTGATTCCCATTCCAACTTGTATATAAAAGCAATTCAACTCTTGAAATGAAGCTATCTTTGCACACAGCGGGCATAAAAGTCAAACTCGAATCGATCAACATTTTTGTAGCATTTATTTTTGTTGTTCGTCAAGGATGATGATGATGAATATGGTGAGAGGAAACCCGGTCAGGCGCCAAGTAGATGAAGGTACCCCCGTTGGTCAGGACGTTTCTGTTCCGTAAACAACGCCACATGCCACATGAATTTAGTTCGTTTTCCTTCTTCATGCTTTCCCAACTCTCTATTCCCGTATTTATGCTTCGACT